GCTGGGTCTCTAAGTCAGCGGCCTCGCGTAGGAAAATAGAGACTGTGCGGAACAGGATGTTTAGCATTTTTCCTTTGTCCCACTTTGGGCTGCCCCACTTAGTGGCAGCACGTCCATCAGATTCAAGGGATTCGCGGCACTGCGTTAGCAGTTCATGTCTGTGCGATCCGTCCTTCAGGGCGAGGCAGTTAAACTTATCTGAAGGGGTAGTTTCTCCTCCCTCCTTGAGGTGGCGTATACACTGGGCAAACTCTTGCTCTGGGGTCGGATTAGCTGCGCCCACTGGCTTACCTCTGGCAAGATTTAGCGCTCTGCACGCTTCGCGGGCCCAAAACATAACGGTTGGGTGGCTCACGATGCAGCCGAACTCTGTGGGGCTCAAACTCATATTCCATTCCTTTCCCCTGGTTGTTAACAAGAGGTAGCCAGTGATCTCATCGCAGGTCGAGGGACCGGTGGCCTGGTGGTACGTTATATGGGCCCAAAGGTCATTGGGATTCAAGAGTGGCCGTGCCCCTCTCGTCCACGGGCAGCAGCGGAGTAATTCATGTTGCTTCATTCCTCCATCCCCACCAGATCCTGTTTGTGACACCATGTCCCGCCGCAGGGTCGGGGTGTGGTCACACTGCTATTGGGGTGGAGAACTCACACCCCGTTTGTTCTTTTCAATCTGGCTTTAAGGGAGGAGGAAGGCTCGTAACGCGTGATGGGTAAATACAAGCGATTTATTTACTTACGCCCCTTTTTGTTACAGTCACATGGGCGCAGGATTCACGAGTTGTTACAAAATGGTCATCAGCTAAATGCATGGGAGCTCAATAACGGGATTGAAAGTTACACCTGGGGAGCGGTGGTGGGAGACGACAGGCGATCAGCCCGGGTAGCTGTGAGGCCTGCTCGCAGTTACAAGTGAACTTGATCCCGGTTGCGCTCGGGTGGTGGCTTCCAGGACGGTCTCTCCGAGCAGCAGGCGGGTGCGGGTTTTAAACCCTGCCGTTCAGTTTCGGTTTGAGTCAGCCAATCAGAACCAAGAACGCTTTTTGCTTCCTAATATGGGAACGCTGCTGTGCCAGTTTGGAATTTTCCATTCATGCTTGTTTTTGCAAGCCCGGGGTTGATGGCTTAAAGGAGGGCGTGTGCGGCACAATCACCATTTCGTGCCTTACACCTCCGAGTGCCACGAGTTCTTGAATATCCTTACCAGTGGCTGTACTATGATGTCTACCAGTTCCTTTAGGACTCATGGGTGCCATCTATCCAGACCCAGCTGATTTGTGGGGGGTTTAGTCTCTTAAGATGCTCTCTCAGAAAATCCACACCAATGGTGCGTATATATTCATCCTCACCCTGGTCATCCTGCATCATGTTAGCCAGGGTGGTCCCTTTGGGCTGGTAAACAAAAAAAACAAAACAAAACAAAAACAAACAAACAAAAAAAACAAAAAACCCCCACAAAACGAACCAAAACAACACCCCCCCCAAAAAAAAACCCCACACCCCAAAAAAACAACTCAAAGTAATCATTAAGCAGATTGGCTTTTTCCTTGGTGTTGGTAGTCAGCTGCCCCAACTGGTTTAGCAGGGGTCCAATGTTGCCCTTGTTTTTCTTTCGACTCCCCACATATGTGAAGAAGGACTTTTTATTGTCCTTGTGTCATATAGCCAGTTGGAGTTCAGTTGCAGCTTTGGCTTTCTTAGTTCACTCCCTGCAGGTGTGGACCAGTGCAGAATACTCCTCCTTAGTGGTGTTTCCTGACTTCCATCCATTATAAGCCTCTCTCTGAAGATGTAGGGCGTCCATGAGTTTCCTGTTGAGCCAAGGGGGTTGTTGAGCCTTTTTACGACCTTTCTTATGGCTTGGGATGGATTCCCCTTGTGCTTCTAGGATCACTTCCTTAAGGAGCAACCACTCATCATCAGCTCCCCTCCCTGTGAAATCATGGCGTCTCAGGGCCTCAAGAACAGGCCTTCTGAGCTTATGAAAGTCAGCCGTCCTAAAGTCGAGGACTACTGCATTGCTGGCTGACTTGCCAGCTTCGTGATGGACAGTGAAAGTGATCTACTTGTGGTCACTCTCACCCAGCTTCCCTTGGATTCTTAGGTCACTGATTACATCATCCCCTTTGGCCAGTATCAGGTCCAGCAGTGCCTTACCTCTTGTCAGCCCATAAACTTCTTGAGACGGGTAGAGCTCATCCATGCATGTATGGAAGCTTTGAGACCAATTGGGTTTGCCCGAGTGCTCTTCCCATGAGATGTCATGGGAGACTTCAGCTACACAGACAACCATGCACCAAGAGCATGCAGCCTTGGCCAGTTTCCAGGCAAATTCTTGGTCAAGCTCTTGTTCCTGGTTTTGGAGGTCTGTAGGAAACTCCTACCATTGTATTCCCTTTGCCACATTCCCCTCGTATTCTTACCCAAAAGTGTCTCCAGTTGTCCTCTTTGGGTGCCAATCTTGGCATGTAGGGACATGTAGCTCTCCTTTACATAGAGAGCTACGCCCCCATCCCTTTTGTCAGCATAGTCTCTCCTATATAGGGTATAGCCATTTATACCTGTAGTCCAGTCATAAGAGGAGTCCGATCAGGTCTGTTATCCCTATAAGAGAGTAGTCATTTTTGTTTAGCAGAAGGACCAGTTCCTCCTGCTTGTTCCCCAAACTCCTAGTTCTAATTTAAAAAAGTACTTGGTGCATATTTAGCTTCAACCACATGAGTAGTTAATTTAAGTACAACTATTTGTACTTCTACTTTAGTCATATGGTTAAATGACTTGCCAGATCACGTCCTAATCTATTTGTATTTGGAGTGCTGGAATGATGAAACTGGCTGTCTACACATCATTCAAAAATATGCAAGAGTAAAAAGCAAATGCATTAGAAATCTCTCTTCAGCAACTTTTGTGATAACAGTAGGTAAAAAGAGAGAGGAACTAATAATATTGAGGGTTTTAAATTGATTGTCCCTTGTAAGCTATCTCTAAAAAGGTGGATGAAGAAACTCAAGGAACATCCTTCACTTGTTCCTATGGACACAAGAATTTCTGATGATTTGGGTGGAGTAAACAGCTCCTGAATTCCTGTAGAAATGAATGGTTGTTCAGAAAATCTCCCTTTAAAGAAAACAAAGCTATTAATGTCAGTGTTGATGTGTTTTGATCACTAAGCATCTAGATATAACTTGCATGTGGGATGGGAGAATTTGTTTGAGACTAGAGAATAAGTCATTTCTGCTTATGCACTGGCTTTCTGGGTCAATTTCATATATCCTAAAAAAGGCCTGAAGTAACCTTTTGTTAGAAATGTAAGAAATCTGAAAGGAATGGAAGACCTTATAGACCTCAAAATTTATTACCCTTACAAAATCTTTATTACAGACTCAAAGGGGTTTAATGTAGTGGTGCACTGATTTAAAGAATTCTTGGGCCAATACTGATGGCCAATTATTAATGAGCCATATTGGTCGATACCAATCAGATTTGCCCCCCCATTCCCAGTGCCACTCTGCCCAACCCAAGTGCAGCCCTGGCCCAGCCCACTCCCTCTCCCCACACACAGATTGGGGGGGGGTACATATGCCACCCCCAGAGGCATATGCGGCAGCAGGAGCTGCCCCCCCTTTTCCCCAGAAGAGCCGCTCATGGCTCTGTCCTGCACCCTACCCCACCCCACTCCAGCTGGGCAGCACCTGCCCCAGCCCCACTCCCTCCCTCATTGCAGGGGTCTCGATCTGCCCCTTCTTCCCCAACATACTTACTAGCTGGATGCTGCTCTCCAAGCTGCTGGGCTGGCCATGTACATGCTGCAGCTGCACTTGTGCATGTGGCATTTATCAGCTACATCAGCCAAAAAAGCCGATTGCCGATTATTGTCAGTTTTCCTTTTATTAGTGCTGATATGATATGGACCAGTGTATCAGTGCACCTCTAGTTTTGTGCAAAGTTGTGATAAAACTTGCATCTTGAATGGCATGCATTCCTAATGTTTATTTTAAATATATAAGCACTGTTTTTCATTTGTTGTTCTGAAATGTTACCTTTTTGTAAAGATCTTCTTTATTTCAAACTTAAAATATATACTTGTGTTTTTTGTTTGTTTTTTGCTGAATACATCTATCAGCTACTTTCACATATGTCAGAAGCTCCAAGTGGAGGGAGGGAAAGCAGGTAGAGTAGCCATAGACATCCAGACAATGATTTCTTGAAAGTTTTATTAACTGTTAAGCCCTCCCCTTGCAAAACATTGGTATAGAAAACATCAGAAAAACCTATGAAACTGGTGTTTTTCATTAGTAAGGAAAGCAAATACTACCCTTCCTGGTCTGTCACAGCTTGATTAATAGTTCAGTTTCCAGCATTCAAACAAGACTCACTGAAAGCCTCTTGTTTCAAGCATATCTGAATTTTCCTAAAGACTCCAAATTAAGATACATTTTTATAACAGTGGTCCTTTAATCTACCTGGCTTTGGGCTGGATCTGTGTGGGGTTGGTCTATGGGTACAGTCTGGCATGCTGGATCTGCCTGTGAAGTGCCCCATATACCAGTACAGTCTTGTGCACAGGGGCATGTTATCCACCCCCAGGAGTCCGGAAATTTGGCAGCAGGGGAGTAGCAATGAATGCTGTCAGCTCTCCCCCTGCTGTCAAATTTTGGGACCTGTAAGGAGCCTTGTGGGATGGATTGACAGCTCTGCAGGTTGGAGACTGAGCATCATTGTGATATAAAAATTATCAAGTCCTTTGGCTTAATTGTTTTTTCACTACCTCTTCATTTAAATGATCTGTAAATACTTGATGAAAGAAATCAGTGTTTCTCAAATGGCTGGTTAAATGTCAACAGAAGCCTGGCAAAATGCTCTAGGTTTTGTCCAAAGAAAACTAGTAAATCCTCTGTATTTAGGTTATACATTATTATTTGCATTACAGTAGTGCCTTCCTGACTCGTCATTTCTTGCTCCTCCATGCTTCTGGACTGTTTGCCACTGAATTTCCTCTGAAGTGGAATTGGGAAAACACTATCATTTACTGCCTCGACCTTCTCTGAAACCTCATGATCAAATCTTTGGTGAACATCTGCTCATCATGGGGTGAGTCTCTCATCCCTCCTGCACTTAATTTTAACTTTAAAATTCAAACAGGCAGACCTTGTCTCCTCAGGCAAGCTCTTCATGTTTGTGTTTTTGTTCATGTAACTGATCCTAAACTATCACGGATACGGGGAGAGGGGTCTGAAAATTACATGCAGGAGAATTAACAGCTAATTACTATACACGCTTGGAATGTGGCATTCAGAGAGGCTCATTTTAATTTGATAGACTTGAACAAATCTCAGAGATCTTTAAGGTTTCTCTATCTCTTTGGTTGATAGCAAATGAATTCTTGCTTCCTCTGGAGGGTAATCATTGCCTGTGTAGTAAGCAGCTCTCTAGTTCCCTGGGTCACTTCTGTGTCTTTTTTGAGATGGGCGTTTCCTTTTTACTACGGTATTGTTTTTTAATACTTCCTTTGCATTCGGCATTTTATGAGCAGATGACATGCACAATTTCTCCCATATTCTTATTATTCATTCTTGGACTTGCCACTGCTTAAATTTTCAGGGTCTCTTCATTCCATCTAGGAAGAGCACGCATCAACTGCTGAAACTTTCCTAGCCCGACGAAGGATTTTTGAACCCAAAAGCTTGCTTAAATATTGTTCTCCAACTATTTACTTGATCTAATAAAAGATCAGATTCACCCAAAGAATCTTGTCTGCCAGGGTCTTGGATAGCATCTAGAAACATACAGCTCTCTCTTTCCTATATAAACTAATGTTATCAAGGAAAAATGGTTACTACATTTAATCTGTTAATTAAAATGTAAATGGATTTGTAAACGGAAGTGTCTAGAAGTTCTTGATTTTGATGCTTAGGCTTATGTGATGTGAACCTGATTTTTTTTGGTGTGCATTTTCACATGTCTGCAAGCTGCCCTGGATGTCAGTGGGAGCTTTGCCTGTTCAGACCCTTTGAAATTTATGCTGTATCTTATTTAAATACTTTAATATTGGGAATATGGACTCTTGGCTTCAACTTCAACAGTTTAAGTGTTTTAAAATGAGGACAGTGGTGGGCAATCACAAATGAAATAAGACTATGAAGGCTAAGAGAACAAAACAGTTGAAGGGGAAAGAAACAGTAACATCTTATACCTTGTCTCTGGAAACTGTTAACTGCGTCTATTTAAAGGGTGTGGTGGAATCTCAGTCAAATAAAACCTTTCCATACCAGTCTAAATATCACTCAGCAACCTTTAAAATATACAGGGTACTGCTCAATTAACATCCTGGTTAACGTTGTTTCGTTATTATGTTGCCAATCTATTAGAGAACGTACTCGTTTAAAGTTGCACAGTGTTCAGTTATAACTCTGTTTGGTTATTGCCTGCTAGTAGGTAACTACTGTGATATAATTGGATTCGCTTAACATCATTTTGCTTTGTTGTTTTTTTTCAAGACTGTAACTAGAACATTAAGCAAGGAGTAGTTGTATGCCATTTTTACTATTTTATTTTTATAAAACTAGAGTGACACCTATCCTAATTTCTTAAGCAATTGTGACTTTAAAAAGGATATGCTTGTTCCTTCATTCCGTGGGGTTAGTTCATACTGTCTTAAACAGGCTGCTTGGAAATAGATAAAATATTTGTCATAACTTGTGATTTTTAACCCCCCCCCCCCCACAGTTCTTTATGACAGCTTTTATAGATCCTTTGAATTTTCATAAGCTTTGCCGTTGCTTTTGAATAGCATGAAAATCTTAAGATGGGGGAAAAAAAAACAACTTGGTTTCATAGATTTATAGTTCCATAGACTGGAAGGGACCTCGTAAGATCATCGGGTCCAGCCCCCCTTCACTAGGCAGGAAAGACTGCTGGGGTCACGTGAACCCAGCAAGATGACAGTCCAGTCTTCTCTGGATTTCCCGAGTAGGTGATTGCACCACCTCTGGAGGGAGCTTATTCCACAGTCTGGACACCCTTACTGTGAAGAAGTTTTTTCCTAGTGTTAAGCCTGAAACAGTCTTCCAGGAGTTTGTGGCTGTTACTCCTGGTTTTCCACAAGGGTGTCGTTTGTGGTGAACGGTTATTTGCTGAGCCCTTGATGTATTCCCCTGATGTAGCAGTAAGCTGCTAGCAAGTCCCCTTGCAGCCTTCTTTTTTTTTTTCAGGCTGAAGAGTCCTAGGTCTCTCAGATCTTTCCTTGTATGGCTTGCCTTGCAAGTCTTTGATCATACAGGTGGCTGTTCTCTGGACTTTCAAGCTTTACCATGTCTCTGTTGAAATGTGGTGCCCAGAACTGGATGCAGTACTCCAGCTGCGGTTTCACTAGCGCCGAGTAAAGTGGAAGAATCACTTCCTTGGTTTTGCTTGAGAAGCATCGATTGATGCATGCCAGAGTATTATTTGCTCTTTATTAGTATTATTACTTCACGGTTTCATGTTCTGCAATTGTAGGGGCTCATTTTGGTTTTTTTCTCTCAGTTAAAAAACAAACAAACAAGAAAAGGCCTCTTAGAAATCCATGTAAGCAGCTCCAGAAGACTAAAATATAGCAAGGAGATCAGGAAGTTTAGTGGCAGTGCAAGAGTTCAATGGACTTTGCATGAACTTGGGCAAATTGCTTTGCCCAGCTTGTTTTTAGTACTCTATCTTTAAAATGCTGTTATTAGTACTTTTTTTGTCTTTCTTTTTGTCTTGTGTAGACTGTAAACTCATGAGTGTGTACTTTGTTTCTTGCTATATGTATGTATGGTACCTCGTAGAGTAGTCCCAGTTTCAATTGGAGACTGTAGGCAATATTGTTTTACAGCTCTTGAGTTGGTGCCTATGGCTTTCTGTTGTTGGTAGCAGCAGGCATGGGGTAAAGCAGTGGTTCTGAGACCTATGCCAATATATTAATTGTAAACAATGTGCTGCATGCAGTGGCAGCTGTAGGCTGGTTTGGCAGAGGGGTCTCAAATCTTCCTTCCTGTTTTTAGGCGTAGGAGAAGATTGTTTTCAAGTGTTCTCTCAGAGATACCTCTGTGCATCTCATTTAGTCAAACACATCTTCAAGAATGACTCTCTCTCAACAATAGGGGTGGAGTTTGGTTTTTGTGTGTTGTCATTTGCTTTTTTTAAAAACTTCATAAAACAAACTGTGTTCTAGTTTGCCATCGAATACTTTTCTTTTATTTGTTTTAAATATTTCCTTTGTGACTCTCTCTTCTCTTTTGTATAGTACTGGATCTTTATGTAGTTTAAAAAGCAATTACGAAGATGATATTGTGTGAACGCCTGGTGTTTTCTGGTCTTTAGACTATGCGATACGCTGCTGCTGTTTCCTAGAAGATTACTGTGGTGAGATTGTCCTCAGCAGACTAGGTGACAATCAGATTCCATTTAAGAACTGTTCTGTGTGTCTGTGTAGGGTGGCCTTTTTCTAACTGTTTTCATTGTTGCAAGAGTACTGGTTGGCCATTTGACTGCAACATAATGATAGAGCAAATAGTAAATGCAGCAAATAGTAAATTACTGTATTGACTGCAGTAATATTTAACCTCAAATGTGTTGCTTGGCAGTTTCAGTAAGTTGTTATGTAAGGTGATTGTAAAATGCTGGACAAGTAGAGCCCTTGCCATTTATAGTTAACGGAAGCAATTTCGTTCTTTGTATTTTTAATGTAAATGTTTGAGTTCTGTTTTCAGTAGAGACTAGACGGGGGGCGGGGCGAAAGGCTTTAAGAATTATGCTTTATTGCAATGGGTCAAATACAATTTTTTTATTTATTCTGATCTTGTAGATTACATCTTTCATGTAAGGCCACATTAAGTAGTTTTAATTAAACTTGATTAGCATTGGTATGTTGTAAATTTAATAGCATGTCACGTGCCAGAGGCTAAATGTTAATTGGACGGGGGCGGTTGAGCTGCATGAAGTTTAGGAAAATAATAGAAATTTTCCATTTAAACATGCAAAATGAATTTTTAGTGCTCATGCTCTGCTTTTGCTACGCCCCTGCATTTTCTTTTCTTATTGACATGGATACTGATCAAAATAATTTCAGTCCTTATAAGTTCTGATCTATGTCAGCATACAATGAAAATAGTTACTGACAGATGTGTAAGATGTCTCTCACTATCTAAAGCTTTCTACTGATATGACTAAACTATTTTTAAAGGAAAGAAAATCGGCTTATTTCTTTGCTTTAAAAAAAGGCTGTTGGTTGAAAATAAATAGCTATCATGTAAGCATTGTTATTTGAATTGGATGAATGCCAACACTCCCTAGTTCAGTTTTCATTTATTCTGAGACAAATCTTTCTGGAACTTATAGAATGAGTAGGGGGAAGAAAAGAGCCAAAAGCATTTAGTTCTTTTTAAAGCAACTCCACTTTCAGAAGCAGATAGCCTCTTTTTCTCTCTCTCGTCGGTCTTTTAAATGTTTTATTATAATTTGAAGTGTAATAACGTGACCCTGCTTCTTGTTAACTCAGTAAGAGTTATTAATAATAAATTTAGAGGTCACCTTTCTGGGTTCAGAGTTTATTCGGTCCAAGATGATCAGGATGTAGTTTAATTCCTTAAAATGCTAACGACTTCTAATATTTAGCATTGGTTAGCATTCTGTGGGATTTTGTGGAGTATTTCATTTGTCTTCTATTTTTTAGTAAAAACAATTTTGTATAAGTTTTTTGCCATAGTATTTTGATGCATATAATGTTCCTGCATTGCAGCAAATATAATGTTGACTATCAAGACTACTTGCCCCTTTGTCCTTTACTTCCCCTCCCCCCCCCCCCCCCAAAAAAAAAAAAAAAAACCAAACCAAACAAACCCCAAACCAACCAACCAACCCAGAAACTCTAGGAATCTTACCAACTAGCTGTCACCAACAAAAGCTTATGCTTTTCTGAACTGGTTAGGGCAAAGCAGAACCTTAGAGACTCCTCTGCCTGACTTCAGGTTGATACAGCTAGCTACCTCTCTCAAAGGTTGAAAACTTTGAAGCTGTGGAAGTTCTAGTTGCTTGAAACAGACTGGTTTTGCAAACTTATGGAGATATAATTT